GGAGCGCTGTTGGAACGACCACGTGTATTCTAGGACTTTTGCGTGGCCCCTGGCTTGTACAATCCTGGGCTGTTGGAACGACCACGTGTATTCTAGGACTTGTGCATGGCCCCTGGCTTGTACAATCCTGGGCTGAGGTTCAAGTCCCATACCTGGTGGCTTAAGAAACAAACCAGGGGACGAGACCAAACAAACCAGGGGATGACGTAACGGTTACATCACTGGACTCTGTAGTTCGAGTCCTGGACCCAGAGGTTTGAAACACGCCGGGCGCATGTGTGTGCATGCCCAAAATCCCGAGAGGAGAGGGGATTGCGGTGTGGCCATTCCCCCCTGGTGGGTGATTTCTTGCTTTCTGTCTCTCTCTGCTGAGTGCACATGTCCTATAGCAAAAATCTCTCCAAAAAAAAAAAAATTAGATTAAATTAGAAAAAAAGAAACAAACCAGAAGCGTGTGCGTGCATGCCCCAAACCCCGGATGGAGGGAGCGACGGAGAAGAAGGGGTTGCAGTGTGACATTCCCCATGACGGGTGCTTTCTTGCTTGCTCTCTGTCTCTCTAGGGAACACATACGCCCCCTGCAAATTAAAAACAAAATCAAAAGCCACACACACACACATGCACACCCCCCCACACAGTCTTGTCGTCCTCACTCCATCGTAGCTCTCTCTGTCTCCCCTGGAGTTGAAAATCAAAAGCCACACACACACACATGCACACACCCCCCGCCACAGTCTTGTCGTCCTCACTCCATCGTGGCTCTCTCTGTCTCCCCTGGAGTTGGTGGAGGTCCCTCTCAGGTGTTCTGGGAAGGAGACAGGGATGGACAGGCGAGGTGCAGGCATGAGGGAGCCAAAGCCCAGCTACGCTCGCTTTTCTTCAGACAGCTCACCCGTGCAGGGCAGAGTTGCAGAAGACGGGGAGTGGAAGACCAACCCTGTTTATCACGCATGCGGTTGCTGACATTCAATAAGGTTAGACCCATCCTGAGACCACAGACTTTTTGTCTTTCTTAAACATCATGATTGATTTTATTTTACATGTCATTATCATTGATGTAAACTCACTGTAGGGCACGTGTGCTCAACAGAGAGGCAGAGAAAGCAAACCACCAGGTCTGGGACTCGAACCACAGTCAGCCATGTGGGGGTCCAGTGCCCTTTGCCACCACGCCACCTGGATTTCAGAGAAGCTCTTAGAGGTCCAGCCCTAAAGCTTCGTGGTGAAGGCAGCTCCCACATGGCAGACTGAGGTTCAAATCCTGGACCCAGTGGCTTAAAAACCACAGGTGCGTGTACATGCGTGTCCCAAATGCCGATAGGATGGAGGAGTGGAAAATGGATTGTAGTCTGACCTCAAACATTCAGGGTGCTTTTGCCCTTTTCCTCTCTCTCTCTCTGCCTCTCTGCCAAGCAAATGTGCCTTCTAGGAAAAATAAAATATATATAGTAAAATAAAATTAAAAAATGAGTTTCACTGGGTGCCCGCATGTTTGAAATGCACGCAGCTTTCTCCTAACACGCGTTCGTCATGGCCTCTCCCAAGCCCTCCCGTACGCTGGGTCAGTAGGTACCTCTTGTAGGTGGCCTCACCATGGAGCTGTGCCCAGCCATGCCTCTCTGGCGGGTGCATCCCGAGCTGCGTTCTCAGGACAGCGCAGAGAGAGGACCGCTCCCGCTCTGCATCTGCACAGTGAGCAGGGAGGAGGCGAGCGGTGTCTCTTCCCTGTCCCCAGAGCGCGCTCTAAGCTTCTGCAGAAAAAGCGCGGCTTGAAATGGCTTTCTCCCAGTGACCCACTTGGGTGCCAGACACGGGTGCACAGTAATCGCCTCGCAACTCCTTCTCGCTCCGTGGTTTCTGAAACGTTTAGGTGACACCGAGGATGGCGTGGACAAGGGGCCATGGTGTCCCCAAACCAGAGCGCGTGTCGTTAGGGCTCAGTGTGGGTGCACTGGGGTTCCCGTGACTGTCCTGACGACCCACAGAAGACCTGGTGTGGGTATTAAATGACGTGTTTTCCTGCCCAGACTTTTTTTTTTTTGGAGAGATTTTCACTGTAGGGAGCATCTGCTTGCCAGACAGACAGAGAGAGACAGAGAGACAGAAAGCGAGAAATCACCCCCCCCAGGGGGGATGGCCACGCCGCAATCCCTTCCCCTCCACTCTCCTCTTGGGATCTTGGGCACGCATGCACACGCGCCTGGCATTGAGTTTTAAGCCACCGGGTCTGGGACGCGAACCGTGGTCGACTACGTGGGAGTCCAGCGACATAGCCATTACGCTAACTGCTGGTCCCTGCCCAGACTTTTCACGTGAATCTCGGATCTCAAATCTCAGGTCTCCTGACCACATCTCAGGTGCCACACCACGCAGTGTCAACCTCTAACCAAACTTCTTCTAATGCAAAGCAAACACCTCGGGACCAGCGGAGGGCATGGTGGTTACGTTCCGGACTCTCACGAGGATGACTGAGGTCTGAGTCCCAGACCTGGAAGCTGGAAACTCACACCGGGCACATGTGCGTGCGTGCCCAATATCCCAAGAGGAGAATGGAGGAGAAGGGATTGCGGCGTGGCCGTCCCCCCTGGGTGGTGATTTCTCGCTTTCTGTCTCTCTGTCTGTCTCTTTGTCCCTGGTGAATGCATGTACCCTGGAGCAAAAATAAAACAAAATGCCTTTGCCATTCTGATTTTTAATGAATTAAATTAATTAATTATTATTATTATTCTGCTGTAGGGTGTGTGCACTAGCCGGAGACAGAGGCAGAGGAAAGTGGGCAATCACCCCAGGACAGACACCCACATCGCAATCCCTTCTCCTCCCTTCTCTTCCTGGGATTTTGCACACGCACACGTGTCTGCTGTGGTTTTCAATCCGCTGGGTCCAGGACCCGAAACCCGCAGTCAGCCACGTGGATCTTGCTGTCTTAAGCTCCATGCCACCTGCCGGGCTGAGGTTCTGGTTTTTAGACAAGATCCCAGGTCTGATTTTTGTCTTTTCTTTTTTTAAATTGCCAAAATGCTCATGCCCTTCAGAGAGAGAGAAAGAGAGAGAGAGAGAGAGAAAATGAGAAAGCAAGCCACCAGGTCTGGGACTCGAACTGTGGTCGACCATGTGGGAGTGTCCAGCATCTTAACCACCACACCACCTGCTAGCCCCCATATAAGATTTTTAACAGGAAGGGAGACTTTTTTTTAACATGCTTTTGCCATAAGGTGTATGAGCTCTCTGGAGAGAGACAGAGAGAGAGACAGTGAGAAACCACCCCCACGGGGGATGGCCATGCTGAAATCCCCTCTCCTCCGTTCTCCTCCTGGGCACACACGCACACGCACCCTGCGGGAGTTTCAAACCACCGGGTCCGGGACTCAGACCGTGGTTACCCATGTGGGAGTCCAGTGACATAACTGCTATGCCGCTGCTGGTCCCAGGAGCGTAGAGTCTACCATGAAAAGATGAACCGGTGGCGTGTGACTTAATTAGACCATCCCCCTTTCATTTAACGAGATTCACACATAAGCTCACACACACCTATTTATTCTAATTTTGTTCCCGGGTGTACTTAAAATATTTAGAATAAAGGTACAGTCCTTGCAGCGTGGAGCCAGGGCTTATTTTATGCCCGAAGTGTTGAACACATCCTCTGTGTACGAACCCCCTTCTCACACGGCCTCCTCATGGAGATGGCGTGTTATTCTGTGTTTTTCACGGTGGGGTCCTGGGACATGCATGAATAAACGGTGTGTCCTGGAGGTCCCAGAATTAGACGCCCAAAGCCAAAATAACCTGATCCTTTTCATTTTATCTCAGTTTTCGTGTTTGCTATCGGGCACTTGTGTTTGTCAGAGAGAAACAGAGAGAGTTTTTTTTTGAAAGAGAGAAAGGGAGAAATCTCCCCCAGGGAAGATGCCCACGCCACGATCCCTTCCTTATTCTCCTTATGGGGGTTTCGGGGCACGCATGCACACACACCCACTGGGTTTTCTTTTCTTTTTCTAAGAGAGAGATTTTTGCTCTAGGATGTGCATGCTTGTTGGAGAGACAGAGAGACAGAGGGCGAGAAATCACTCCCCAGAGGGGGATGGCCACTCCGCAATCCCTTCTCCTCCGTTCTCCTCTCGGGATCTTGGGCACGCACGCACAAGCACCCAGGATGATTTTCAAGCCGCCAGATCTGGGACTTGAGCCGTGGTCGGCTACATGGGAGTCCAGCAACATAGCCATGACGCCATCTACTGGTTGCCCCTTCCCCAACGTGTTTTTCAAGCCACCGGGTCTGGGACCTGAACCACCCGGTGGGCTATGTGGATCCAGCAGCCTTCACCTCTGTGCCACCTGCCGGCTCCGTAAGGTGGTTCTGGCCCGCTGTGTTTGCTCAAGGTCTCTCCTGGAAGGGCCCTGGTCCCTGCCACCGAGGGACGCTTCCCGCTGCCTCTGTACCTGTGGACGGAGTCGGGGCTCTGGTCTGCAGGACGGTAGCGTTTCGTGGGGTTCGGCTCCTCCCTCTTCCAAACCCAGGCTTTTCCGTGTCTGCCTACGGGCGGGGAAAGGCTGACTCCAGGGTGTGCCTCTGCCCCACGGGGGTCCCCGATCATCCCCGATCATCCCCAGGCATGCCCTTCTTCCAGTCTGCAAATAATCGTGTGTGTGTGTGGGGGGGGGCACTGACTTTTGCTTCTCTTTCCTTTTTTTTCAGTTTGTTATGGGGTATGCGCATTCTCCAGAGAGACAGACAGATACCAAGAGAGGGAGGGAGAGGGAGAACTCGCCCCCAGCGGGGACGGCCACGCCGCCATCCCTTCTCCTCCGTCCTCCTCCCGGGGTTTGGGGCACACACACACACACACACACACCTGATGTGTTTTTCAAGCCGCCGGGTCCGGGACTCGAACCATGCGGTCGACCCTGTGGTATCCAACTGCCTTCGCTAGCCATGCCCCCTGGCTGGCCCGGATTGTGTTCCCGCGTGCAGAAAAAGCGCTGTCCCCGGGCCGTGTGGTTTCAAAAATATTTTATTTTCTGGAATAGCCGTAATGTCTCAGCCCTGTCTGAGTCGGCCTCTGTCCGCGTGGGGAGCAGAGGCGGAAGCTATGGACGACAACACGAGGCCTCGGACATCACACCTGCAGGACAAGGACGGGCCTCGGGACGATGGACAGATGCTGGCCGGGCGCGAGGGGTCAGCGTGGGGGCGGCCGGGCCTGGACCCAGGCGCCCGCCGGGGAGGGGGGGCCTCTCTCATTTCTGCCTGGTCCTTCACAGGTGGGAGACACGACAGTTACAAAAGAAGAAAGAAAAGAAAAAGGGAAAAGAAGAGAAGCCAACAGCTGAGAGTCCTTCCCGGCGCTGGGCCGGGCGAGGCATTCTCACGCCGCACGCCACGGACAAAGTGCTTCCTGCATGGCTTAGAGTTCGCCTGGAAGGGACGCCAGGTTTGGTTCTAGAACCTTCCGGGAACGCTCGGATCCCGGGTGCAAAGTCTCCAGTCTGGACGGTCCAGGGGGTCTGGGGGATCCCTCTTCTTGTAGGACGTTCTCGGTCTTTGAAGCAGACTGGGTGAAGGTCGTTCGGTTTCGCTGGCCACAAGGTACACAGGGGAGTCTCCTGGGTCTGCTCTGCCCGCAGGAGGGAGCTGCCAGGGGTTCCTGTCGGTTTTCACGTGGCGGATTGCGTCTGAGAGCGGAGCGCTCAGGCCCTGTGGGCACCTACCTTAACGAGGGTACAAGCTGACTGCTTCTGCACTGGCGTGCCCAAGGGTAAGAGCAGACACCTCCTCCAGGCTGCCCCCCTGGCTTTGGAAGCCCTGTGAGTCACGCATTTACACAAGGGCAAGGCGGATAACGCCCACGACCGTGTGGGCCAGGCGGGTGGTCGGGGATGGCTGTATGGGACCCCAAGGTCGTGTAGAGGTTACGGCGCCAACAGGGCCCCAGAGGGGATGCTGGCCTGGCGTCCCGACCGCCCGGTGATGGCTTGCTAAGATGAGTGATGAGGGAGGCGGCCTGGATCCTCACTCCTAGGCTCCCCGCCCTTCTCCCCTGCAGAGCTGCGGGGCTGGCATGCTGGTGGAATGTCTCCAGAGGAGGGCCGCCGGGAGACCTCGGGGACCCGGCCCTCCACGCTGGAGCCCTGGTGACCCCGTGGAGGACGTCCTCACAACGCCCTGGCTGGTACGGGGGGACAGAAGACGTCACGGCCATCGGTGTTCTTCCTGCCTTCGGGCGCCCTAGGGGACAGAGACGGGAAGACACGGGAGGGGAAGATCAGTGGGGCCAGGAGGAAAGGCCGACCCCTCCGCCCACAGAGCGCTCCACCCATGCTCCAACCTCGGACCCTAAAACGCTCCCATCAGAGGAGCCACGGCTGGGCCGGCAGGTGGACTAGTGGCTAAGGCGTTGGACTCCCACAGAGTCGATGACGGTTCGAGTCCTGGACGCGGCCTCTTGAAACTCACGCCGGGTGCGTGTGCGTGCATGCTCAATATCCCTAGAGGAGAATGGAGGAGAAGGGATGGTGGCATGGCCATCCCCCTGGGGGTGATTTCTCACTTTCTGGCTCTCTGATAAGCCCAGGTACCCTATAGGAAAAATCTCTTCTAAAAAAAGGAAAAAAGGGACCGGCAGTTGGCATAATGGCTATGTTGCCAGACTTCCATGTAGTCGACCGCAGTTCACGTCCCGGACCCGGTGGCTTAAACTCACGCTGGGCGTGTGTGTGTGCGTGCCCAAGATCCCGAGAGGAGATTGGAGGAGAAGGGATGGTGGCATGGCCATCCCCCTGGGGGTGATTTCTCGCTTTCTGTCTGTCTCTGTCTCTCGGGAGAGTGCACACGCCCTATAGCAAAAATGTCTCTTAAAAACAAACAAACAAAGAATGAAGGGGGATGATTTCTTACTTTCCTCCTCTCTCTGTCTCGATGTCTCTCGCTCTGGTGAGTTCACGCACCGTACAGCAAGCAGCAGCTAAAACAAATAAGACAGACAGAGAGAGAGAGACAGAGAGAGAGAGACAGAGAGAGTGAGAGGTGTGAACCAACATCTGCTTATTTCCATTGGCCGCCCTGAGGCCATCCTGACAGCTTTTCATTATAGGGCACATGTGCTCCCCAGAGAGAGACAGAGAGACAGAAAGCGAGAAATCACCCCCAGGAGGGATGGCCACGCCGCAGTCCCTCCTCCATGGTCCTCTCGGGATCTTGGGCACGCACGCACACGTGCCCGGCGTGAGTTTAAGCCACCGGGTCCAAACTGCAGTCAACTACATGGGAGTCCAGCGACATAGCCATGACGCCAACTGCTGGTCCCCCAAGAATTCTGTTTTAAAAATAAATGAAATCGGAGCAGCCTTTGGGGCTGGGGCAAGCGCCCCCCACGGGGAAGGCCTCTGATGGACATGGAAGGGGGTCTTTGCACACCCCATCCCCAGACCTCAGGGGAGAGAGAGCATGAGAACGTTCCGGAATTCGGCCTTGGAGGGCGTTGGAGCTGTGCGTGCAGGGTGGGGTGTGTGCTTTGCAAATCCCAGCCGCCTGGGGAGGGAGCAAGCGCCGAAGGCAGAATGTCGGCCACGGCCCGTTTTCTGCAGGAAGACACTGACCTCCTTCTGCCACTGTCTTCCTTCATTTTGTATTTGAGGGAGATTTGCTCGAGGGCGCGTGTTCGCCAGAAGACAGAGAGACAGAAAGCGAGAAATCACCCCCAGGGGGATGGCCACACCGCAATCCCTTCTCCTCCATCCTCCTCTCGGGATCTTGGGCACGCACGCACACGCGCCAGGAGTGATTTTCAAGACCCCGGGTCTGGGACTGGAACCATGGTCATCCATGCTGGGAGTCCAGCCACCTTAAGCACCACGCCACCTGCTGGCCTTCACAGTTCTTCTTGTCGGCCGGCTTCTTTTCAGAAGTAACAACACGAGGTGGGAATGTTTAGGAGGATAGCCACGCCTTTTACTCACAGAGCATTTCTGTTTGGCTATTCCCTTTCCCTTCAACGTCGACAGTCCGAGGGGTACGAACACATCCTCCGGGGCGAGATCGCTTCGTTAACCCAGATCACGAAGCTTCCGTGGACCACTGGGGTCTTATGTGTTCTCTTTTGAGACGATAAATGTCTAATTAAAACATGCCTCGGAGAGCCAGCAGGGAGGACGGTATTTAAGGTGCTGGACTCTCATGTGGCCCGCTGTGGTTCAAGTCCTGGACCTGGAGGTTTGAGACACATCAGGCGCGTGTGCGTGCGTGCCCGAGATCTTGAGAGGAGAATGGAGGAGAAGGGATTGCGGCATGGCCAATCCCACGGAGGGATGATTGCTCACTTTCTCTCTCTGTCTCTCTGTCTCTGTCTTTCCAGAGAGTGTATGTGCCTTATGGCAAAAGCTTAAAAAAAAAAAAGAAAAGGAAAAGAAAAACCTAGGGGTAGATGCTGGTCCCACGCAGGGCTCCGTGAGGCCGACCCACACGGGAAGGTGCTGGCTTCACACCTGGAGACCTCACTGAGTTCGTGGGTCACTACGTCCGCAGGGCTCAGCGTCGGCCAAGGGCGGGAGTGTTTCCAACACCAAGACCGTTCCGAGGCACCCCTCTCTTTCTGTCTGTGCCGGAGTCACAGATCAGTAAACACGCTTCGGCTCTGCGTTGTCGGAAAAGTCAACAGATTGTTTTCCCTCTGTCTTTCTGTGCAAAAATGTGTCATGACTTTTCCAACGACTCTCTCTCTCTCTCTCTCTCTCTCTCTCTCTCAAGGCTCAGAGAGACCTTCCAGAGCAGCAGGCCCCCAATTTTTTTTTTAAAGAATTTTTTTATTCTTCAGAGTGGTCGTTAAAGGCACTGGTCTCTCCTATGGCCAACCGTGGTTCAAGTCCCGGACCTGGGGGCTTGCTTTCTCACTTTCCCTCTCTCTCTGATCAAACTGGAAAATAATAATAAACAAAATGACATAAAATAATTGTTTCTGAAAAGAATTATTTCATTTTATCATTATTTCTTAAATTTTTTATTTCTCTTATTTAATTAATTAATTTATTTTTAAACTTTGCTACAGGGCACCAGAAAAGGGAGTGAGAGAGAGAGAAAGAGAGAGAAAGCGAGAAAGCAAGCTGTCAGGTCCGGGACTCGAACTGTGGCCGATCTTGGGCACGTACGCACATGTGCCCGGCATGAGTTTTAAGCCACCAGGTCCGGGACTCGAACTGTGGCCGGCCATGTAGGAGTCCAGTACTTTAGCCATCACACCACCTGCCAGCCCCACATTATTATTTTAAAATTCGCTACAGGGCACGTGTGCTCGACAGAGAGAGACAGACACAGAGAAAGAGCGTGAGAAAGGAAGCTGTCGGGTCCAGGATTCAAACCCTGGTCAGCCATGTGGGAATCCAGTGCCTTAACCACCGTGCCACCTGTCGGCCCCAAAGTCGCCAACACTTGGGGCATGCACATACATCTGGCATGACATTGTAAGCCACAATGTCTGGGATTCAAGCTACACATGTGTGTGTGTGTGTGTGTGTACACATACTTACACATGTAAATGTACATATATACATATACACACACATACTGGGTCATTGGGAAAAGTCACAGTGCACTTTTGCATAGAAAAATAAAGGGAACTATGACTTTCGTGATGTATGTGTATGTACATACATGTACATACGTGTAGATATGTCTATGTGCGTGAACCTGTATATGTGTGTGTGTGTATATCTAATGAGGTCATCGAGAAACTCAGACTTTCCCGTGTTTTTCTACGTGAAAGAGGCCACAAGTTTCCCAATGACCCAATATACACACTGACCTGGGGGCATGTTAAAAAGCCGTCACTGGGAACCAGCAGTTGGCATAATGGCTATGTCGCTGGACTCCCACGTAGTCGACCGCGGTTCACGTCCCAGACCTGGTGGCTTAAACTCACGCCGGGCACGTGTGCGTGCGTGCCCAAGATCCCGAGAGGAGAATGGAGGAGAAGGGATTGCGGCATGGCCATCCCCCCTGGGGGGTGATTTCTCGCTTTCTGTCTCTCTGTCTCTCTCTGTCTGTCTGGCAAGCACACGTGCCCTATAGCGAAAACCTCTCCAAAAATGCAAGAAAGTTGTCAGAGAAGCCATCCTTCTGGGATGGCAGGGAGTCAGGTCCCGAGGAAGGTGCCGCCCAGGTGACATCAAGGGCGATGTCTGTGCCTCCCTGGTGGCCCCTGTCCCCACGCAGAGACGCAGCCGTGTGGAAAAGTGCAGACTGAGGCTCCGTGTCCCGGGGAAGCCACCGAGGGCGAGGGAAACGCAGCCCCCGAAGCAGGTCACCCGCTCTGTCTTCGGAGCTGCCTGGACTAAATACAAGCCTGAGTGTGGCAGGAGGGGCCCAGGGGACTCTGACACTTCAGCACAAGAATCAGGATCTCCTAAATATAATTCCTCTGGCAGGACACAGCCCCTCCGCGGGACTCTACATCTTAGAAACACCTGGGAAAGAAAAAAGAAAAGGAAAAAGAGCCCCAATACGGGCTTCACTTCAGGCTCCTGTTCCCTTTCTAACAACGGGATTTTACTTTACCTGAAGCATGATCACCCCGGGCCCTTTCTAGCCTGCAGAAAAGCCATGGAAAAATCTTAAAACAAAAAGAGTAAAGGTGAAAAAGGACACAAAACAGCTAAGGGTCCATTTTTTTTTCTCTTTTTTTTGGAGAGGTTTTTGCTATAGGGCACATGCGCTCGCCAGAAAGACAGAGAGAGACAGAGAGACAGAAAGCGAGAAATCCCCCCCCCCCCCAGGGAGGATGGCCATGCTTCAATCCCTTCTCCTCCATTCTCCTCTCGGGATCTTGGGCACGCACGCACATGCGCCCGGCATGAGTTTAAGCCACCGGGTCCGGGATGCAAACCACGGTCGACTATATGGGAGTCCAGCAACATAGCCATGACGCCAACTGCTGGTCCCAGGAAAGGGTCAATTCTGCAATAAAAACAAACAAACAAAAAAAATACATGCACATCCAAGAATGATGGTGTTATGAAAATCTGCAACAAAACCAGAGCGTTTGGGGAAAACGGGTTTCAGGTCTCAACCCTCCACAGCGGAATCACTGGGCCAGTTGGTGGCGTGGAGGTTCAGGTATCTGGATCCCACATGGCCGACTGTGCGGTTCGAGTCCCAGACCCTGCAGCTTGACAATCACGCCGGGCAGGTGTGCGTGCATGCCCAAAATCCGGAGAGGAGGATGGAGAAGGGCTTGAGGCATGGCCGTCTCCTTCTAGGGGCAAGGTGTGCCCTCTCACTTCCCCTCTCTCTGCATCTCTGTCTCTCTCTGCTGAGTGCATGCAGCCTGTAGCAAACTATTAAAAAAAAAAAGCAGTTCTTTCACTGGCACATTATAAAATGATAGGAATCGAATAAAGCGGTCAACGGGGGTTTGATCACTGTTCACTAGTTGAGAAAGGAAGAACCGATACCAGGACGAGAAGACTTCCCCGAGAAGGACTTGATGTCTGAGCACTCAGGCATCAGCAGGGTTCGAGCTTGTGAGCTCTCGTATGAAGGGGAAAGGAGGATTCTCTGGAATGGCACGGCGGGGTCCCGCAGCAGGTGTGGGTGGGCTCCTACCCCGGGTGAGAGCTGAGGGACCTGGTGTTTACAGGGGGTGTGCATTGTGTACAGGGCACAGTGTGGCCGGCCGTGGTTCCCCGTGTTCCCCAAGAACGTGTCGAAGATCTGGCCGCACACGGGCCAACGCACACGGGGCACTGCCATCAGCTTTTATTACCCCCCGGGGGGGATGGTGTCCAGGCCACAATCCCGTCTCCTCCATTCTCCTGTGGGATCTTGGGCACGCACCCACACGCACCCAGTGTGATTTTCAAGCCGCCAGGTCCCGGACTCGAACTGCAGGGTCAACCTTGTGGGATCCGGCTGTTCTAACCTCTACGCCACCCGCAGGCCCAGTTTGCTAACTGTGTAAACTCCCAGGGGCCG